GGTGGAGGAACAGCTTCTCCTCTCCTTGAGCACCAGTTTAGCACCATCATGGGATACTCCATCTTGTGGGATACCCCATCTTCTGTGATACCCCATCTTCTGTGGTCCCTCATTGTTGCCAGCACAGCAAGGTGAGGGGGAAGGAAACTGCTCTGTCAGGAATGGGGGCTTAGCAAGTTCTAGCAAGTACCTGCATGCTGTCCTCTGGGCTCAACAATGGACAGTCAATATCAGCCACCTGCAGAAAAGGAACAGCCCAGCTCTCTGCCAGAGCATCATTTTGTTCCCAGTTCTGAGAAATGATGAGGCACTTCCTTACAGAATTGAGCAATGGTAAAAATTTCCTCTAAACAATGCAATAACCATCTTAGTGAATAAACTCTTATTTCCTATTGCTTATGTATGTCTGCACTCCTGGAATAGGGTTATTGCCTGGCAAAAAGAACACCGCCCCAAGTAAGCATATAGCTAATGTGTCATCTCTCTGAGAACATTATTTTCTTGCTGATGACTTCAATCCATGTCTAATAGACTGACTGCAAGATTAGGAAGTGCATCATATTCATCAGGGCTCTGGAAACAATTGATTAGATATTATCCTGTAAACAGAGACTATATCAGCATTGAAACTATGTCCCCTCTCCTATTTGAGCTTGTGTGGCAAGGACCCTGGGGTAACATCTCTTTGCAAATTTCTCAGCCAGAACCTGTATCTAATCTCCATTTTGCATGGAGGGTTTGGACATGCTGAAATAAGCCCAGTCATATGTATGGAATTTGTGATCAGTGCCAAAGTAGGAACATTAATTGATTGCTTGCATGAGGTGTGTGAAATTAAGTGCCACACATTTATCTGATGGGCATGTGCAGAAACAGTACATCTTCTTACTGCTTTTTTCATCCAGTCAGTCAGGAGCAAACCGTACTGATTTTGGTAAATGAGAAGTCACCTTGAAATCCACTACCCATCATTCAGCAAAATAAGGGTTAAACTGAAATGACCTAAGATAATTTTGGATGTCTTTTGCATAATAAAGTTTGAGGACAAGATCAGAGAACTGAGACACTCTAGTAAGGAGAAATATCTTGTGCAATTTATATTCTAGGACCAGGTCAGCAGAAGTTTCTTAGTAGTCCTTCACTCCTTCAATATTATTTGAGTCATGATTTCTCTGGTCTCTTTCCTTTTTCTCTGTGGTGTTTGTTGGCTTCTATGAAAGATGCAGCATATCATAGGTTGAGTGCACCCTCAGCAAGTTTGCCGAT